ACATATACGATGTCGGTTTTTGGTTTTAAAAAAAAAACCGAAGTCGTATATTTTATTTAAAAATTTTTAAAAAATATACGACGTCGGTTTTTTACAAAAAAAAAAAAAAAAAAAAAAAAAAAAAAAAAACAAACAAACAAACAAACAAACAAACCGACGTCCGTTTTTTTATTAAAAACCGACGTCATTCTTTTTTTATTTATTAAATTTAACTTTAGTATATGACGTCAGTTTTATTTTTTTAAAAAAAAATGACGTCGTTTATATTTTTTAATTATTAAATTTATTTTATGATTTTCCATAAAAACTTGTGCAATTTTACAATTCACATCAATTTTTAAAACCTGTGCAATTTTACATTCATTGTTCAAACTAATAAATTTTTCAATTAATCAGACTGATAAATATCACAATTAATCAAGCTAATAAATTCTACAATTGATAGTAATTAATAATAATAAGAGTTAAGTCCCAAAATGGTCCTCTGACTATGACCTTTTTTCAAATTGGTTCCTTGACTTCTAATCGCACCCAAAGTGATCCTCCAACTATTAAATTTTAAGTCAAAATGGCCCTCCGTTAGATTTAGCGTTAAGTGGGTGTTAAAATGAAGAGTAAAAATGACATTTTATATTGTTTGTTGTTTAGAGCGCAGCTTTGACCTGCCGATTACTTCCCCAAATTAAATAATATAAACCTAGCTAATTGTGATTTTTCCCCTTCTTCCCCTAGCTAAGTGTATGAAGTATTTACCGAACATGTAATCCATTTTGGTGGACGACTTTGTTTCTTTCCACTCAACATGCTTGTTGCATTGACACACCTATTAATATAAGACATAAAATATATGTAAGTACTTGACATCACTATATTAATAATAACTACGGAATATTAATTATTTATAAATTTACATATGTTTCCCGTGTCTCTTTAATGTCCTCATGTGGGCTGTGGCTCGAAACCAATTGAATCAACCCAATAAATTTCATATAGTAGATGACAAATCGTCATCAGCATGACAGCATCCAATGCCCACTACAAATAAGTAACCGAGGTCGTATATGAAAATTTTAAAAAAAAAAAAAAATGCATGATACAACGTCGGTTATTGACATAACAGGCGTCGTAAATTATAAAAAAAAAAAAATATTTTTGATATACGAAATTGGTTTTATAATAAAACCGACGTTATATAATTTAAAAAATATATATATAATTTTATTTGTTGTTTTGACGCCGGTTTTGCAAAAAAACCGAAGTTATATGTGCGACGTTATAAGTTGATAAATGATAAATTACACTTATTTCTAATATCATATTTATAATGAGTTTGCTTGTATCTCATTTAGTTTGGTGGAATATGGTATTCAATTCATTCTTCTTCTTCTTCTTCTTCTTTTTAAAGAATTTCTTAGAAAATATGGCAGAAAATGCAATTTGTGACATGCTAATAATATTTTTTGTTATATCTCTTTCATACACCTACAGCATAATTGAGGTGAATCAAGTGTCTATGGAAAGATATATATGAGTATTCTCTATAACTTTCATGCTAAGATTTTTAAGAGATTCGGGACAAATAAGGGTAAAAAAAAAAAAAAAAAAAAAAAAAAAAAAAAAAAAAAAAAAAAAGGCTAATAAATTTTGACGCGCTCAGGAAAACGATCTTTCTACATGCTAGTAGTATTTCGGCCATATGTATTTCGTATGAAGTCCAATTAAGGTGATTTAAGTGTCCCTAGAAAGATAAGAGATCTCTCTACAACTTTAGTGGTTAAAGTTTTCGAAGATTTGGTGTAAAACATGAAGAAAAACATTGGAAAAAATCAAGCCACGTGTCAATTTCCTAGAATCTATTTAAACAACATTTTTAACCCTTTTGAGGGACTTACCCTAGGCTTCAAGAAACATTTCAGGACATTCTTGTGGGCAAAAACCACTATTAAGAAGACACTCTTACACCATGGAAGGGCTTGAAAACAAGGGGTTTCCACGATTCAAGGGGCTTTTCTATGCTTTACAACTTTCTTATCATTTCTTTCATTTCGTTGTGTTTGCCTCCATGTTTAGAGGCTAGCTAGTTGTTGTAGTACTTGGATTTATAGTGAACCCTAGGAAGAGACTTCGTTCTTGATTGTTTCTTGCAAATTAATAATTGTTTTCCTTTGATTCAATTGTGTTTCGTTGTTGTTCTTGAGTCAATAATTGCTAGCTTTTTGAATTCTTGATTGGTGCATGAACTTTGAGATAGAGATATCCTTAGCGAGTGTAGACACAATTGGAAGGATGACTTGTAACCCTAGAGGTAAGATGACATTAATTCTCTGTGTTCGAGTAAAATCGTTAGGTAGAACTCACAAAATGTTAATGCAAGAAATAGGAGGCCTCACGTTCTTAGAAATGAACAATTGTTATTGACATTTATATGTTGTGGTCAATGATATCGTAAGGGATTCATAGATCCAAGTACCATTTTCTCACTGGTTGGTTCCCTCATATTTTCTGGGTACCATTCTGGAAATGACGTATGAGCAGTGGTACGCTCGTAATCCCCTCTCACACCAATTGGGGTACAGTTATGGAAATGGTGCACGAGCAGTGGTACGCTCGTACGTGTGCTTGAATGGACTTCATCTTATTTTTTCCAATTCTTGACCAAAACAACCTATAAATGACCTTATTTCCCTTCAAAATGCAAAAGTTTCTAAAATTATAGCTTCAATGCAATTTATACTAATTTAGGTCGTTTAAAGCACAAATCATACCAATTTAGCCACAAATCCACTCTAAAATATACCCAAAAATACTTTGCATTTAGCACTTATCAACAATTTAGTAATACGAAGGTCAGACAATAAAAGGATGAAGCAATAAACAACTATTGTCAAAAAGTCAAGAAATCAAGAAAGAACAACAATAAGGAGTATATAAAAAGAGGTAACTAACAATAAGGAAATGAAGTAACAAGGTAAAATTCCCATTTACTACTACTAGTGGGAAAAATAAAACTCAAATAACCTCAACTACATTTCTCTAGTCTTAGAGCATTAAGAGCACATTTGGTTCACGAAATGAATTTTGAGGTAATAGGAATACTATTCCATAAGGATGGAATAGGTAAGGAATAGAATATGAATTGTATTATATTGTTTGGTTAGTAAAAAGAATATGCTTTAAGAATTATATTACAGTGTTTGGTTGATTTAAGGAATAGAAATGAAATGTGTTTTAAAAGACATAAATACCCTTATAAAAATATGTTATGGTGGTGGTGGTGGCGGCGGCGGCGGCGGTGGTGGCGGCGGCGACGACGACGGTGATGGTGATGGTGATGGTGGTGGTGGTGGTGGTGGTGGCGGCGGTGGTGGCGACGGTGGCGGTTGTAGCGGTGGTGGGGCGGTGGCAGTTGTGGCGGTGGTGGGGCGATGGTGCTGGTGGCGATGGTGAGTGGTGGTGGCGGCGGTGGTAGTGATGGCGACGGTGTGGTGGTGGTGATGTTGGTGGCGTTAGTGGGGTGGTGGTGGTGATGTTGGTGGCGTTAGTGGGGTGGCGGTGGTGGTGGGGGGGGGGGGTAAAATAGAAAATAGAAACTTTAGGCTATTCCTGATAACTCAGGAATAGCCTAATACCAAGGCCCCCCTAGGAATCTTTATTCCCCTTGCAAGGGGAATAGATCATTCCTGGAAATAATGTTCCTGGGAATACAAGTGGTTACCAAACAGAGGAATAGGCCTATTACTGTGAATGATATGCCATTCTAGGCCTATTCTGTGAACCAAACAGCCCATAAATGTATGGACATGAAAAAACGCAAACACCCATTAAACAATTCTAATTTACTTTCAATTGTGTATTAAATTATGATGAGGCAAATACAATCGTTATGCGATGGACCCGGGGTAACAGTGACATTACGCACTGTTATCTTTCTTTTTCTTTTCTTTTTTTAATTTCAGACCGCTTCGTTATAGGAGTATATGTTCATAATTTTATTACTATATGTTTATAATTGTAAGTTCATAATGTCAGAGCTCTATGTTCATAATTCCATAACTGTACATTCATACTTCCATAACTGTACATTCATAATTCAATAACTGTAACTTCATAATTTTAGAGCTCTATGTTCATAATTTTATCACTATATGTTCATATTGTAAGTTCATAATGTCAGAGCTCTGTGTTCATAATTTCATAACTGTACATTCATAATTGCATAACTGTACATTCATAATTCTGTAACTGTATAATGCAATAACTGTAAAATCATAATTTTCAAAGCTCGATGTTCACAATTTTAGAGCTCTGTGTTAATAATTTTATCACTATATGTTCATAATTGTAAGTTCATAATGTCAGAGCTATGTGTTCATAATTTTATAACTTATATTCATAATTCCATAACTATACATTCATAATTCCATAATTGTACATTCATAATCACATAATTGTACATTCATAATGGCACAAACGAATAACGCCGTTAACGGCGTTAACGGCGAGACAAAAATAAAAATAAAAATAAAAATAACTGAAATGACGCGTTTTCCCTAAAAACGACGTCGTTTTGGACTCGTGTCCACAATGGACACGAGTCCACTGCATAATTTGCGAGGCAAATATACTCTTAGCCATGTAAAACCATTACAAGTCTTGAAGCTTTTAATGAGGATAATTTTATAATATTATATACTTATATTAAAAAATCGACCCACTTTAATTTCCTCATATAAAAGGAGTTCATCTTCGTCATTCAAACTCTATTTGAAACCTTGAACTCTCAAGTGGAATTTCCTCAAAAGCCCTAAATTTTTCTTCAAACTAGAAAACAAAAGCTCACTCAAAATGGCCACCATGGAACAACTTAAAAAATATTGATCTCAAAATACAGTGTATTTTATTTGAAGAAGGCTTATCATATGATCAAGCAAAGGCTAGGAAAATCATAGAAGCCCTAGCAAACAATGGATTAAATGGGAGATGCCAGTAGAGACCACTACTGAAGTACTTCTCACACTTATAATTAGGGGTTAGGGAACTACTAGCAAAGCTAAACTATCTGGGCATAAGAAATTACAACTGAGAAAGAAAGAAGGGAGTGTGAGTTGGTTCCACTGTCTAGTACTAGGAGCCAATATCACTGAAGCTCTTGATAATTATACCTATCAACTCTTGGTTCCAATCGGAATCTGACTATTGAAGTTGCTAAAACAGTATACAGTTTGGCATTCATGGTATTAGTAAACAAAAACTTGTTGTAACGTTACAGATTCATAAATCATAATGAATATTATGTACTCGATCAGTATTCCTTTCCTTATGAGGCTGACAGAAAGTAATCTCTGATTGTTCTTCTCTTTAACGAAGAAGGGGGATTCAGAACAGAAGAAGGGCTCCTTGCTGTAGCTTCAGGAGTTTTCTCCAACTTGTCTTTCATCTCATATCCCAACAATGAATATTTTCTTTTTTGGGACTCCGGGGTACTTATTTCTGAGACGGGTGAATAGCTAACGTCCAAATCATTCCTGGAGCAATCCGGTTTTTCATCAGGAAATAAATTAAGCTTCCGGCATTGTTTGCCTGAAGGCGCCATTATTCCCCTCCGGATGGAAGAAGGAGATCTTGTGTTGGAGTAACAACTGCTTTGAATGTTCCAAATGCGAGCCTGACAAAGAAATGTGGACAATGATGTACAAATCACTTTTCACTGTATGTGAAAACTGTTATGATCAAGCACAAAAGATAATGTTTTCCTATGAATGCATCATGAACAAACATAACATGTGAATTGCATCCTTAAAAGATTTCTTCATCTAACTTACCGTGAAATCATCTGATGCTGTTGCTATTTTCCCCGTCTCCGATGGGCACCTAAAGTAGTATTATGAGTTATGTTAACAACTTAACATATACCAACAGACACTACCATGTACAAGAATACACCAGTCAGATAGAAAGCATACCAATCTACTGCTGTAACTTCTCCTTCATGACTATTCAGTATAATGGGATCTGCTAGAGGTTTCCTTATCTGCATTGAATGATCTAATGCTATTAACCATCATATTAACATTGAACAATCCCTTGATGGAATGTTTAGAATGAAGATAATTACCTGCCATATGTAAGCATTCCCATCACTAGAGCCGCTTAATATGTGAGCTGCATCAGGGCTTATTGATGACTGCAATTGCATCAATTGGCATCAGTCTCTTTAGATATATATATATATATATAGCAGCTTTCTTATAGTCTAAATAGTAAGAACTAAAAAGTAACCATCACTTACCTTCACAAAAAAAGAGTCAATTCGGCATCCAGAGAAAGTTTTCACTGGCCCTTGTTCTAGCTGAAGTACATTGTATAGGTATATTCTGAAAGACATTTTAGAAGGATTGGAATTTCCTATTAAAATAATTAAATGCAAGGCAATGCCCAAAGCTGAAACTGCATGTTTACAAACTAAAATACCTGCTATCCATGCAAGATGCAGAGATAAAGACTCCATTTAAATCTTGAGATAAACTAGATATGCCATGCAGCTTTCTTTCCTGAACAAGGAGAAGAATCGATAAAGATTGCTTACAAGAACATCCTCAATTTCAAGCTAATGGTGCAGCTAAAGACTTACCTTCTCAGCTGACCCTTCAGGATGAGGGCATGCCTGACTGATAGGAGATTTCAGACTCCTTGTGTCCCAAAACTTTATAACACTGGAATTTCAAGAAATAAAAGTTAGTAAATAACAATGGATAATCACATGATAAGCTTCAATTGGGTGTTAATTGTTTAAATTATCATTGCAAAGTTTCTAAGGCACCTGTCAACTGCTCCAGCAGTAGCTATGGAGACCTCATCCTTTAGATGCAGAACAGATGTGATGCTCATAGAAGAAGCCTGAAATAAATAGGGCTTACTTAGAATAAAATCATATTAGCAAATATAAGAACAAAGTGAATCATGTAACAAAAGTTGTCAAGGCAAACCTTTCTACGTCTACCCCGCCTTTGACAAGGAGAAATGTGAGCCTCATGCACCATAGCAATTGATCTGAACAAAGATAGAATAATGATTCAATTCATTCAAATCCTCTAAAGTGACTCAAGGCCATATAAAATATGTTATTCTTTTCTAAACTCTTTAGTTTCCTGAACTTGACTGTTCATTTGTAAATTGTAATGCAAAAACTTTATGCGTTGTGTTTATAACATTCTTGTACATCATTAGTATTCATAAATCGTAATCCTTTATGCTCTTAGGGAAACAGTACTTACTGTAGACAAAGTCTTTGGCCACTGCTGTCATTGCACCTCAAATCCCATAGAGCAAAGGACCCATCTCTTGAACCGGAGACAATAACATCTGTCATAAGACACACAAATAAGTTTATAAAAACAGGACAGACCCCTTGGATGAAAGTTAAATGTAGAAAAATAGGATTCAAGTGAAGAGGGGAGTAAAATCATGAACATACTGTGATTTGTAGGATGAACACAAATGGATTTCACACTTCCAGTATGGCCCATCAATGCTCTTAAACATTTCTGTTCCTTTACATCCCATACCTTTATCTGTTCAATTTTTCAAGTAAATTCACATTACTTCTGAATTTCAATAAACTTCAAAAAGTGCACAGCCCTACTGAAGGAAAAGAATGTACATGGGGATACCTAAATTGACAATAACAGAACCAACATTCTATGCGCAAATGTGTACATGAATTTTTTAGATTTGATCAAAGCTCAAGTATCCTTTAACATATCAATTATTGCCAAATGATCTTAATGTAAAATGTCAACAGCCAAAAAAGCCTCATTGTGAAGCATGTTTTAAGATGACAAACAAAAACAAATTTATAGAAGAGTTACTCACACTTTGATCACCTGAAGCTGTTACTATGTTGCTGTCTTCCTGCAGAGAATCAGTTTATGGCCATCATTAAAATATGACAAGATTGCATTGCAAAGTTATATCAAAGTCTTTAGCTGAGATCTGGCTATTCATGTTTATCAATAATATTTAATGCCTGAGTTATGCACTATAGCATTCTCTATCCATTTAAGATAGAGCAAGCTACATAAATGTATCATAACCATCATGTAATGTTCCATTCCAATCCTTGATATGGAAGTTCACATGCAATCATATATTAGACAATAAGGAGGGTGTGGTTTGAATATCAGAGAATAAGGAGGGAGAGCATAACACTGGCATTAATATTTTATGCTTAATTCATCCCAAAATCGCACATGTTTCAACTAGAAAGATAGTCTTAGTGGGAGACACTAAGGTAACAATGACTAATGGAAAATATAGGAGGCCTATTTTCTGTGTGGTAGTTGGGAAAATACACAAAAAATATACTAGCACAAGGTAGATAATTGCAGGCAGATAGGATACCTGAATCCAACATATGTCAAATATGGCATTATCATGTGCAACCCATTCAGAAATCTTCGCCTTTTCTGCAAATTGTTACATTTAGTCATCAAGACACTGGAATCAATTAAATGAGAAAACTAAATTCAGAATTGAACATTACAGACTAGGTTTTACCTGCATTTTCCTGATAAGTGGAAGAAGACAGAAACTTGGAGCGTGTATTATACAAGCTAACGTAACCCCCCTCATCGGCGACGGCAACTATATGGCAATTTGAACTTGTCTGCAGAAACAAAAAGGTTGCGATTTTAATAAAATCCACCGAAGCCAGATACAAACGATTACTCCCTCAATATCTTTTATTAGGTTAAGAAATCAACCTTGCAGAAAGAGAGAGCCATGGGAGGCGACGTTTGACCGCTGTGCTCAACAGAAACAGCTCCCATTTCACTGAATTCTGCGGACTCGCTACTTATAAAAGGTCGCTTTTTCACTGAGATGCACACAAAAAAAAAAAAAAAAAAATTATAAATTCATCATCAATGCTGGTGAGGAATTTAGAGAATAAGGGTTAAGGAATACCTCTGAAGCCGTGGAGTTCCCTCGATTTGATATCTTGAAAAAACGACTGATTCCTTGAGCCCTCCATCCGCCGCTCTAGCAATAGCAGATTTAGAATCCCAACACGGAGAGCTTAGGCGAGGGTTTATGGGCGCTTGGAAATGCAGATTTTTTGTGCTCGGATTTGAATAAGGAGTTTCAGGGATGGCAGAAAAAGGTTTTACCGGAGATAGCGATGAAGAGACAGAGCCGCCGAGGGATTGGTGCGGCGGTGAAGGAGGAGAGTGATAGATATGTTGGATTTGGCGGGAGTAAAGTTGCAGGGTAAGGCGGGAAAGAACAAAAATTTTGAGAATGGCCACTTTGGCGGCATATTGCAATGTACGTTTGTTGGATTCCCTCTCTTCTTTTTCCTTTTTTTTTTTTTTTTTTTTTCAAAAAAAAAAGGTCAAATAGACTTTTCAATTTTACACAAAAGTGTAATTAATTTTTTAAAAAAGTACAATTAAGCTCATAAATTTATTATATTAGTGCATTAAAATCTCAAAATCGATTAATGACTTGCAATAGTAGGATACTAATATTTTGATCGCTCCATCAATACTCTAGTGATCAACGATAGTTGCCATCTCATTAGAGAAGGCAAACACAATAGTCGCCTTCGCCTGGAGATGACGACCACAATGGTCGCCTTCAACGTAAAAGAGGGCAACTAATCGATCACCTTTTTCGTCTAACCACAATGAATAGTCGTCTACTTTTTTTCAATTATTATCAACTACGTTCGTCAACGACGACTTATATACCGGTAATTAACGACAAATTGAATTTATTTGACCATTTTAATATATTACAGAGGTTAATTACATTTTTCAAATGTTTAGAAGGCTAATTATATTTTCTTGTAAAGTAAGAAATCATATCTAATCACTAAGACTATATGGTCTAATGGTATCCGGGTTGGACTCCTCAGTAGGTTGAGAAAGTATATGAACAGATACTACAATGTAATAGGGCCAGTGATATTCAAAAAAACAAAAAAAACAAAAAACAAAAAAAAAAAAAGAAATCATATCTAATCTTTTTCCCTTTCTCCTTTTTTTGTCTTTTATTAATTCCTTTTGGCTCGTCCTGGAGAAAGTAAAATAGCCTCTCTTTACTTATTTAGTAAAGGTAAATAAACCGTCGGTTAAATGGAATGGAATTAATTAATTGGCTAAACAAATCGATTGTGCTTATTTGTTATTTTTTCTGTATAAAATTATAAATTATTAATAAGGTAATGTTTTAGGCTCCAACTAGTAAAGCTTATTTTAAACTACTAATAAATTATAAATTTTGTTTGGTAAAATATAATAAATTTAAAAAAAAAAGTAATTTTCTTTCAAAATGTTACTTCCCATTACGTTTCAAAATAAATTCTAAAATTTCATTATTGTTTTCACTTTTATCGTTATTATTTTACAAAAATGACACATAATATACATCTCCATTAAAACGAGACAATTTGAGCAATACAATATTCAATTTTACTAAATATATATCACTTTTAATTTGTCTTTTAACATTTATCAATTTTTTAATAGTAAATTTTATCAAACACTTCTAATTATATACATCTAACTTATTAGCTTTTAATTTTCCAAAAAAAAAAAAAAAAAAAAAAAAACTTATTGGTTTCTAATATTCAGCTTCATCTACTTTTTTTTTTTTGGGGGGGGGGGGGGGGGGGGGGGTCAAACAGGACCTTATTAGATTGTAAAAGAAATAGATGGTTTTAATTAACTAGTCATTAAATGGCACTTTAATAAATATGACTAATATTTAATTTTATCATTAAATTTAAAAAGTTTACAAGAGAAATAAAAAAATAAAAAATAAAAAAAAAAACAAACAAAATTACATGTTGAGACAAGATGTTTGAATGTTAAAATTACATGTTAATAATTTTAATTTATTAAACTATAAAATGACAAAATTTTAAGTGGTAGACTAATTGTAACAAATAAATAAATTAATTAATTAATTAATAAGATAAAATTAAAAGAATAAAACTATAGATTATAAAGCCACAATAATCCCTAATTAGTTTGATCGGAGGGGGCTTTTCAAATCTTGTCGCCTTTAGTTGACACACTAATATCTTATATTTTTCATGGGGAACGTGGCTAGAATTAGGATCTTCATTTTTATTTTATATGTTTGTTTAGTTTGTCTTTTTGTTAACCTATTGAAAAGTTAATTTCTATTTTAAAAAAGTTAAATATGAAAAAAATTAGAAAAAAATAAAATTACATATTTAATAAATCTCGAACTTCATAAATTCTAAATACATCATCTGAAAAGATGATTTGATTTAAGTTAAATTTATTCCTCCAATATTCACTCATTTTCAAAAGTAGATCCGACCTCCAAATCATCAAATTTCCAATTCATTAAGTATTTTCTCTACATTCTTACAATTCTAATCTACTTTTAAAAGTGGACCCATTTACATAAAATAACTCCTTTTACAAAGCAATACAATAAAATAAAATAAAAATAATAATAAAAATAATAAAAGACAAAAGTAGTATTACAAGCGTGCAAGGTAAGCTTGTAAGTTGTAACACGGTGAAAATAAAAAGAAATTTTAAATTATAATTTTTTTATACATCACTTTGCAATTGAGATAATTGCAGGGATGTGGTAAGCCTTAATGTTCAATAAATACCACCGACCTCTACTTATATATGTAGCTTTCCTGGACAACTACACCATGGAAATGGACGGGCTAGTAGATTAGTTGTAATTGTATAGAATATAAGAGACTTGTATATATGTACAATATAATGTCCTTAAAGGACAAATTAAGCAGGTAGAAGAAGGATGATATTATTGACTATGACCTAATTAATTATTTATTTATTCAAAGATAGTTGGATAAAGTAGAAAAGAGTCAAAAGACAATATTGGTAATCTTGGTAGATGCTCTATTGAAGAAACTGAATCATGGGGAGTTTTAAAGGGGATGAAACTAGTGTGAGATAAGGGGTACCGTAAAATAATTATTGAATTTGATGCTAAACGAGTGGTTGATTGGATTAATGTTAAAGACAAAGAAGATTATCTAGTTGGAGTCACAGTAAATATTATCCACGATTGCAGGAGGTGGATGGAAAAGGAATAGCAAGTAAGAGTGCGTGGAACGTGTCTACTGGGAACATAATAGAGTGGCGGATGCATTGTCGAAGAAATCTCTTAACTGGAATAGAGGTATGTGGGTGACACCACTACCGGCGATTGACGTACTGAAACCGCTTAATGATGATATTATGAGAGCCTCTTTCCCTTGTACTATTACCTCTGTTAGCTAGTTTTTGGGTATACCCCTTCCATCAGAAAGGACAAAAAAAAAAAAAAAAAAATCGGCCCAATAGAGTATTTGGAGGATGTAAATCATGATAATTCAATTGAATGCAAATGCTAGACCTTTGCTTACTGCGTACAAGGAACTTCCTCACTTTGAGAGGTTATTCCCACACTCGCTAGTGAGATTCGATCTCAGATTATTGTTCCCAAATAACCAACTGAGCTATCCATGCGAACCAAAGTTCAAAAAATTGATAAGAGACGATGAGAACTTGTTTTGCGTAGAGTGTACACCCAGAGGTAAAAATTGAAGATTGATAGAGCGATTTGTGATTTACCATTTACCTCCTCCTGCGCCTGTGAACATAGATTTTGATGGTCTGCACGGACTTAGCTTACTAGCTCAGTAGATAGTATTTGGAGTAAGAGATTTTGAGGGTTTATGATGGATCTAGCAAAAAACCTAATTAATAATAATAATAATAATAATAATAATAATAATAATAAAAGATTTAGGTCTGGTTTGGTAAAAAATTGGTCTATAGGCTAATTTTGACTTATTTGACTACTATTAATTGTTTGATTTAGTTAAAATATCAATATAAATGTTTGGTTAATTAGTTTTTTACAACTCTAAAAGGCTGAAATTCAAAAAGCTACTCCAAACAACTTTTTCAATTAGCATTTTGAAAAAAAGAAATTATACCAAACAACTATCAACTAATTTACCAAACAGTTTTCTACCATCAGCCAATGTTATCAACTATTTATATCATCTAATTAACACAATAGCTAACAGCTAAGAACCATTTTACCAAATAGTGCCTTAATGAGACAATAGACAACTTACTTGGAGGCAGTGGTGGACTTTTAACAGGAATCATTGTTAAAACGGAGGCTGCTTTATTCATACAACATTTGGAACACAATCCCAATATTGAACAGTTCCCCCCTCCCCCCCCCTCCCCCCCCACCCACCCACCTCTCCTCCTTGTTCTGTGAGCTTTCATGCATTTCTTGAGTGCAAAAGCCCCATATCTGAGATGGGCAATAGTTATAATTCTATTGAGGAATACAACGTTGTTGTGTTACTCCGATCCTCGGATTTCCGAGGCCGCCCTGATATGCGGCAAGAACAGAACATCAGTGAGCATAATCATCCCAAACTTCGTTAAAGAAATGGAAACTGTGTCGCAGTCCGTTACCGACAGAGGGTGGGGTTCATTCGCCGTCATCAACGCAAACATCTCAATCTACGCCTTGGCCCAATGCCACCAGGACCTTCCACGTGGAGACTGTCTCCTCTGCTACGCGGCGAGCCGGACGAGGCTCCCACGTTGTCTCCCGGCAACCTCCGGCCGCCTATTCCTCGACGGCTGTTTCCTGCGCTACGACGGCTACAATTTTTTCAACCAGAGCACTGACCCGACAGTGGACGCTAAGAATTGTAGCAGCCCGGGTGGGGTGGGGGGTGATCAAGAACCGGCGGATTTTGTGGTGAATGCGGGGCGGTTGATTGATAATGTCACCGGAATGGCGGTGGCGGGGCGGGGTTTCGCGGCGGCGAATGCGAACGGAGTTTATGGGTTGGCGCAGTGCTGGAAAACGGTGAGTCGAGAAGGGTGTAGAGAGTGCTTAGTAAAGGCGAGTAGAGAAGTGAAAGGGTGTTTGCCTGGCAGCAGGGACGGTAGGGCTTTAAACGCCGGTTGCTATCTCAGATATTCAACTCATAATTTCATCGCCGATCGTAACCACCAAGCCGACGGCGGAAGTTCCGGTGAGCTAATTTTCCCAGTTTCCCCCTTTTCAATTACCATACTATTATTAGGGTTGTTAACTAACCAAACATAGATTGTTTGTATTAGAGTATTCGTGTTTGTTTAGCCAACACATTCAAGCACATTTTCATAATTTGTTCGTGAATAAGAAATAGTTTATGTTCATGAATAATAACCAAACAAATAACATATATAGAGTTAATCAACAATTTGGTTCCTCAATTATTAGCGAACTGTCAATGTAGTCCCTCAATCGCTTATTCATCGATTTGGTCCCCGAAAACAATTATTTTTAGTCAATTTAGTCCCTCCGGCCCTCGATGAAAGACAGCCTGAGGGATTAAATCGACTAAAAATAATTGTTTTCGGGGACCAAATCGATGAATAAGCAATTGAGAGGCTACATTGGCAGTTCGCTAATAATTGATGGACCAAATTGTTCATTAACTCACATATATAATAGCTATAAAAGATTTGGCTAAACTAAATTAGTGTCTTAACATTTTAAAATAAAATAAAATAAATTACAAATAAATGAGTGGGGGAACGGTCTTAAATGAACACTAAACGAGTATATTTCGAGAATGTTTATAAACATTATTAAACGAACACTAAAGAACGTGTTCACGAGCTTTCAGCAAACAAGCATACAAATATTCAGAATCTGTTCATTTATTAAATGAGGTCTAAAATTTATTCATTTATGTTCGTTTACCTTATTAAATGAACATAAACGAACAATTACCAAACGCGAACACGAGTAGTTTACATAAAGCTATATGTACCCTAACACTCATACCATCTTGATTTATTCTAATTGAAGCATGTGCTACATAGTTAATTTACACGTTTATATATTATAAACTTAACACGCCATCTCACGTGTAGCTTTGATACTAAAGTGATACATGTTGAATTGATAGCAAATTGAAGCTTATGTGTTATCTCTTTGCACATTTACGTTTATATATTATAGCTGTAACCTGAAATTGGGCGATAATTTTATAATTTGTAGCGTCCAAAACTGGTGTGAAGATAATAATTGCTTTGATTGTGACGGCTATCTTCATGATATCTACATTTGCTGCGTATACATATCGCAAAAAATCATTGAAAAGAAAGCAAGGTATGAATGAATAAATGCCCTCCTTGGTAATATAGTTACATTATCAGTCAATTTTAGTTTATTTGACTACTATTAGCTCTTTAACTTAGTTAAACAATTAATATAAATATTTAATTAATTAGTTTTTTGTACCATTCAGCTTATTGCTTCAAGATACTAAAATTCAAAAAGCTGCTCAATATAATTTTTTCGATCAATTTTTTAAAAAAGTCATTTTGCATGTAATCAGCTATCAGTTAAGAGCTAATTTACCAAACATTTTTTACAATCAGCTAATATTGTCAGCTAGTCAAACCCACTATCCGAATCAGCTAATAGCTATTGCTAACAACTATTTACCAAACACCCCCAAAATAACGCAACACATTGAGTAAATTCTATGATGCAGAAGGGAAAAATCTTGGTGCAATATTGAGTAGTTACAACAAGTCTAATCTGAATTTCAAGTATGAAACTCTTGAGAAAGCAACCAAGTATTTTGATCCTTCCATGAAACTTGGGCAAGGAGGGGCTGGTTCTGTGTTCAAAGCCACTCTGCAACGTGGGAAAGTTGTTGCAGTAAAGAGATTATTCTTCAATACAAGGCAATGGGTGGATGAGTTCTTTAATGAGGTGAATCTCATAAATGGTATTGAGCACAAGAACCTTGTCAAGCTATTGGGTTGCAGCATTGAAGGCCCCGAAAGCCTGCTCGTATATGAATTCGTACCCAACAAGAGCCTCGATCACTACCTCTTTGGTAATAATATCCGTTTTTTCTTCTTCGTTTAACTGATGAATTGTGAACACTGAGAATCTGAAATTTGGCAGAGGAGAACAAGATCAAAATCCTGACTTGGAAGGAGCGGTTTGATATCGTGGTTGGGATAGCGGAAGGGATAGCGTTTCTCCACGAAGGCTGTGGATCGAGGATAATTCACAGGGACATCAAGAGCAGCAATGTTCTTCTGGATGAAAATTTCGCCCCGAAAATTGCTGATTTTGGGCTTGCTAGGGATTTTGCAGCTGATAAAACTCATCTCAGTACTGGGATTGCAGGAACATTGTAAGCTCCAACCTTAAAATTCACAAACAACAGATTGTTGACAGTGGACTTTGCCATCATCAAATACTAATTAATTTTGTTGTTTCACATGCAGAGGTTATATGGCTCCGGAATACCTTGTCAAAGGACAGCTCACAGAGAAGGCAGATGTGTATAGTTTTGGTGTTCTTGTTCTTGAGATTGTATCTGGTAGGAAAAACAATGCCTTTGTAGAGGACACTGGCTCTCTACTGCAAACAGTAAGTTCATTCATAAGGGGAGGCTCCAAGCCTCCAACAACATTCACCTGGTTTTTAATGAAAATCTTCGTGTTTTTTATCATGTGGTCAAGTCCGATAAAGGGTCAAGTCCAACACCATGTGGCTAGGAAAAAGTTGTGCTTTCACTGCCCGCACGAGCTTAGCTCAATGGTTCAATAGGCAGTATTTGAGATAAGAGACCAAGATTTGAACCTCAACGGTGACAGTGTTGGGATTATGCCCAAAGTGGACAGATCCCTTCCTTGTGTACACTGACATTGGCTCATGTCTGCTCAACCAAAGTTGTGCCTTCACTGCAAGGTATAACTTTTGGCGCAGTGATAAGTCTTTGATCTAACAATTTGTTATTTGCTAATTGTGATGTCAGGTGTGGAAGCTTTACAAAACTAGTGAGTCAACACAAGTAGTAGACCCTTTACTAGAAGGTGTTTTTCCAGCAGAAGAGGCATCTAAAGCAATCCAAGTTGGGCTGTTATGCTGTCAAGCTTCTCCAGGTTCAAGACCATCCATGTCTCAAGTTGTGGAGATGTTGATACTTGAGAATCCCCACATCCCTCACCCTACTCAGCCTCCCTTCATAAACCCCACTGTATTAGCTGCTGGGAATATCAAGAGTTTGATGTCCGATATGCTGAATAAACTCCACACTTCTTCCTGCACCACCTCCTCCTCCTCTTCTACGTATCAGTCGTCAACAAGAAGCCAAGATTTTCAGCACCAATAAGATTTTGTTGAGTTTTCATCTTTAATTTCATTTTGTTGTAATTACCTAAGAAAACAGAAACAATGGTCTTGCTTGGCAATTGGCGGTTAGCCGTTAGCAGTTGTCAAAACATCATAAATGACGAATGGGATGTTTATGAAACAGGGCCAATGTCAATACTTTAATTTGGAGGGTAAAACTTAAAAGCTATTTGAATGGAGACGCATAGAGGGGCGGTGCTGTCACAAACTGGTGTAATGAAGTAGCGTGCGTGATTGATTCTCACCAAAATGTGTTGTTTTCAAATAGATCAGGTAGCCAAAAGCCTTGTGGTTAAGCGGCATAGCTATGTACCCTTAAATAAGAGGTCTCAGATTTGGACCCTAATGTGAGAGTGTTGATGTTTTATATTTCAATAGGTTGAAAAAGTATATATAAACAAATACTACAATGTAATAGAGTGGATAGTATTTAAAAAAAAAAAAAAATTAGATTAGGTGTTGGAGTCATGGCCGGCCTATGTACTTCCCAACCAATGTGTTTATGGTTGATACTTATAGATCAACAACGGTGGTCCTCTCTCCATAAGGGACCACATGGGTTGAATTGCATGCCACCTCAACGGCCGTCCTTTAGCCACCTCAAGTCATGCCCGCTTATTGTTCTTAAGCTATAATTAGGTTGTAAATTTCGCCCATAATATTTAGTTAGAAAAATGACAAAATTTGTAACGTTAGTCATAACTTAAGAACAAGAAGTGAATATGACCAATAAGTAAAGACAAATCTTACAATTACTCTATAACTTAAAAACGAAAAATTCAAATTTTCCTTATTATCTTTATACATAAAGTTTTTGAGTTTAAATTAAGACTAATTCTAAGCTCTTAAAACCGCTGCTCAAGAGTCATTGGAAGAAGTAAGTCACAAGCCCAAAGGCCCAAATTCCTAGTATGAGGAGCCCTAACTCGGCAAATTTTGTTGTGTACCATAGTTCGCACAAGGAAAAATTGTAATTTATGCTCCTCAGAAATATGTCAATTATCAATGTTACCCCTGAATTATTAGTGATGTAAATGTTGCTCTTCAATTTTCAAAACGTGACATATATTGCCCCTCCCCTAATATGAAGAAGGAGAAAATTTGTTGTCGACGAAAGGAGAACAAGCGAAGAAAGAAAAATTGAGGAAAAAAACGTGGTCTTCGAACAAGAAAGACGACGAGTAACCACATTTACATCACTAATAACTCAGGGGAGGGGCAATATATGTCACGTTTTAAAAATTGAGGGGCAACATTTACATCACTAATAATTCAGGGGTAACATTGATAATTGGCATATTTGTGAGGGGCATAAATTACAATTTTCCCTTCGCACAATTGTGTGCACCATAAATACAAATTACATTTTTAATATATTAAAAGTACATTATTTATGTACTAAGTGTACATTATTTGATAGTATACAAAATAATGTACTTTCAGTACTCAAATAATGTACTTTCAAATACTATATTTTACATACACAAATTATGTACTTTTAATATCTTAAAAATGTACTTTTTTTATGATTTACACAGTTGTGTAAACCATGGTCCATGGAAGAATGATTGTCCCAAATCCCGTTGGACAATTTTTATACCATGAATTATGGTCTATCTTGCATTATAGACCCTTATTCAAAAATTATATGTTTACCGTTAATATATTATGTGTATTCAGTTAATAAATTATGTGTCTATAAATAAACTGAATGCATATAATTTATTAACTACAGACACATAATATGTGAACTACATGCACATAATATGTTAATTGCATATTATGTGCCTGTAATTAACATATTATGTGCTTTCAATTTATTTACATGCACATAATCTGAATGTCACTTTGGATTAGAGTCCACAATGCAAGATGGACCTTAGTCCATTGTATAATTTGCCCCCGTTGGAGTACTGACTTTAGGTCATATGATCGATCACTTAAACTAGCCCACTTACCGTTATTTTGATAGGTAACTAATCATCTTTGGACCACAAGGGAGGGCAAATTATGCCCTGGACCCATGTCCACAATGCATTGTGGTCACGAGTCCAAAACGACGTCGTTTTTAAGTAAAACACGTCATTCCAATTAAAAAAAATTTTGATTTTGTCTCGCCGTTAACGGCATTATTCGTTTGTGCCATTATGAATGTACAGTTATGACATTATGAATGTAAGTTATAAAATTATAAATACAGAATTCTGACATTATTAACTTACAATTATGAACATATTGTGATAAAATTATGAACATAGAGCTCTAAAATTGTGAACATGGAGCTTCGAAAATTATGATTTTACAGTTATTGAATTATGAATGTACAGTACGGAATTATGAATGTACAGTTATGCAATTATGAATATACAGTTATTGAATTATGAACACAGAGCTCTGACATTATGAACTTACAATATGAACATATAGTGATAAAATTATGAACATAGAGCTCTAAAATTGTGAACATAGAGCTTCGAAAATTATGAAGTTACAGTTATTGAATTATGAATGTACAGTTACGGAATTATCAATGTACAGTTATGAAAGTATGAATTTACAGTTATTGAATTATGAACATAGAGCTCTGACATTATGAACTTAAAATTATGAACATATAGTAATAAAATTATGAACATATACTCCTATAACGAATCTGAAATTAAAAAAAAAAAAAAAAAAAAAAGAAGATAACAGTGCCATAACGGCACTGTTACCCGTGTCCAGGTCCAGAGCATAACGATTGACAAGGGAGACACAGGTTTAATAATTTCTCATCCCCTCCAGGCTCCATGCAGGCCACAAACCAACAATTAATAGCATTTTGTTACATCAAGCAGGGCCTCTCCAAACACTGATGTGTGAGTTCAAAGCAAGGAGACCATTCAAACACTCAACACTCTTCAACAATTATAACTACTAGTCCAATTTGGGTTCCTTGATTATTTCCCTATCACCTATATTCTCAGAAATTTTCAGCCCACTCCAACGCCATAAAAAAAGAGTTAGTTTCTTGCACTATGAGCCACATTCTCAGAAAAGGAGCACATGGAGTACAAAACAAACACCAAAAATATCAACACTCGTGTTATCGCTAAGAGCAAAAGTACAGAAGAGTGGTACTGTAGTACAGGTCCTACGGGAAGGCAGAAGGAGTCAAGAAAAGCATATTGCATCACATAAAAATTTAATGGAAAAAACAATAAAAACAAAGATACTCGGAAGAGAGGATAAACCTTAAATTGATAGATACATGGAAGAGAGGAAGAACCTTATATTGATGCTTACACGAGCTCCTGCAGAATCCTGGGAGACAACAATATTTCACAAAGAAAACACATATCAAAACATCAACTACTCAACTAAGTGTCAACGGAGAAAAACTCGAGCATTATTGAGAAAAGAAGAATAGCTGAAGGGTTTCCCTTCACCTGCATCCCTTAATACAATGCAATATACCAATAAACATATACAGTCATTGATGGTTCAATTCCCGTGAAATACAATTCTCACACATAATAAACAGTAGATTCCGGCCATCAAACCTATTCCTCATCCACAACAACATTGATCTGACCTTTCTCGAGCATGTCATACAACTCCTTAGTTCTCCTCTGGTTATTCCAGTGATGCATTTTCCAGAAACCTCCGGCCACAAGCCCAATGATAATTTCCTTCACAACGCTATGACCCTTGTACACAACATGTGCAACATGGCCTCCGGTCATCCTCTGCTGAGGAAAAATAAAGGGAACTTGAGGTAAACAAACATTCATATTAGCCACTACAAGCTTGATGAGTAAACAAGGCAGCAACCATGTCATCTAAGTTGGTGATACCATAGACGGACACTATTCTTTTATTAATTGTGATGGGGGTGATACCACACCTAGACAAACAATGTGTGTATTTATAGGCATTTACCCTTGTACTATGGGCCCGAACCAATATGCTCATTCCATGAGACAAACACATAATTCGTTATATGAGACAAATTCAACAAGAAATAAAAGACAAGTGCCTGCACAGGCTTAGCTCACTAGTTAAGTAATATTTGGGGGAAGAAATAGCAGACAAGAGACATAAACTTGAAAATTACTCCCACGCAAAGTAGTAAACTTCTATTATCAAATGCAACCTTACTATTCAATCAACATGAACCAATATACCAATATCCAATTTCTGTCCACCAAGATCAAATTCCAATCTAAAACGGAATGGGGCAAGCCCAACAAAGATCAATGAATGTTCTCACTATACATATCGATCCAATCATCTCTCTCATTCTATGCATCTAAAACAGAATCAACTCTAAATTGTTTAGACAATAAAACAAATGCACATAAAATTAAATCCCATCCATTGCAACTTTCCCTTAAGCAAACAGATGGTGACGAACATAATCCACCAGATCCCTTTGTTTTCAGGTAACTCAACGTCTCAAACAGATTAAAGGTCAAACACGAAACGATCAAATTTCGTTGTTTTTTGCTATTTTTTGTGCCCACATAAATTAGATTTAAAAAAAAAAATAGAAGATTGAGAATCATTTGAATACAGACCTGTACAACTGTATGAGAAGTTAGATAGCGAGTTGAAGCAGTGAAAAATTCTCAAGAACAAAAAAGCGCTCCGTTGAAGAGTTCAACCCGTATTCTTGTCAACGTTTGTAGACGTGGACTTGTGCATAAATGATAAATTAATACTCCGTAATTCAGTGTGACGCGGGTGTAGTTCTTTAAATGAATGTTATCACGGTCACCCGAAATTCCAAATATGATATTTTTGTCACGTTTAATTCTAAATTTTTAAATTAATTATTGATTCTTTTAACTTTAAAATTTTAATTAATTGTGATTCTTTTAAAAATAAAGTAAAGGTAAAGTTGTCATTTCAGAATGTCATGAAATCAGTTATTACTCAGTATTGTTTTAATGTCATGAAATCAAAATTTTACTTAATTATTCTATTTTGTAATATCATAAGAACTAAATTGATCAATTCTTTAACACATGAACTAAATGGAACATTTGAAATTAGGGACTAACTAAGTGGATAAAGCTTTGCACGGCCTATATATTCTGATCCATATTTGAATTCTAAAATTGGTAACAGTACGTGCAAGACTCATCTTTGCAACATTATTCATCTCTCCTCACATCATCAGTACAGCTTCCATTGCAGAATGGTTGCAACGTCTTTAACCTACCAAACCAGGAAAACGAAATTATATATAGCCATGAGAAATTTATATTATTAGTATAATAATTTTTTTTTTAAAAAGAAAAAAAATAGAATTGAAACTACCAGGGGAGACACTATCTAGATCCAGTGTTTATAGCTAATATATATATATATATATATATATACACACGCACACAAATGCGGCGCCTTGTTTCAGTGCAGGTTGCACTATTAAGTATACATAGATTCACTAGATATGTACAAATACACCATAAAATGTACGGCCATACACTATTAGGTATGCATAAATGCACCATAATGTGTTCAGAAATCACCAAGGTGAAATGTACAAATGCATCACAAAAATACACTACACCCTGGTGTATTTTTGTATATGACCGCACGGGAACTAAACCATATATATATATATATATATATATATATATATATATATATATATATATATGTTAGGAAGCAAATAAAAGGGTAGTTTTGAGTTCATACCGAGAGAGAAGAAGAAAGACCAAAGTCGAGTGCCCAGAGTTCAAATGCCCCTTTGATGAAATCGTAATAACCACCCTTCAATGCTAGAGTGTTTTTTGCCAATCCCTCTCTCACGAAGGGATAGGTCAACAAGTTGCCTAGAGATACATTCACAGCCTCCTGCATAGCCACTCAGCATTTCATATTCATATTAATATTTGTTATGATCATACACTTACCATTATACAGACAATATAGAGGATAACCACAAGATCACAAGTTTACATTTAGTCATATTAGTTTGAGTCGGTCAACTATGAACAACCTAGATTGGTTTACTCTTCTAATTCTGTGCCGGCTTAGGGTCACAGGAGATAAGGTACCCCGTGCATGTCCTCTAATAGTGGCTACCGTTTTCTCTCGTCATTCAAAACTGTAATGAAAACATAACTTTATTTCCTTATACTCCATATTTCAAGAGGCCGTGTTGGATTTGATCCTTCAGCCTCCACCGTCCAAATATCTCCTAACCATCTAGTGCTAGACTTAGTTGCTCAGACCTCCACCTAATCATTCTCTAACCACATGATGCTGGACTTGACCCTTCACTGGCCTTTATGGCCCTAACAATTTTGATGCACGGTAAAATGCAAATTAAGCGGTGAATTGAAGATGGAATTGTGGATTGAGTTGAATTACCTTCTCGCAATATGCGCATTGATCTCCAAAAGGTGCATCACCGTGTTCTGATATCACCTTGTGCTTCGCAGGTAAACATATTTTAACCCAGTCTTCGATGAAGTCACTGTACAGTAAAAGTTCAAAACAGTGTATGTATGTATGCATAGTAAAGGCAAATTATATTGTATTGAAACTTAGTACTGTTAGTTACGTTGTTACGTACGTACGTAGAAGTGGGTCCATTATCAGGGAAAGACATCAAGCCCTTTATACCTCCACAGGCGCTGTGCCCAATCACCACAATGTTCTCCACCTTAAGATGCAAAACAGCATATTCTATGGCAGCTCCAACTCCAGAGTACTTGCTCTGTTACTTATGTTGTAAAATGTTACTATCAAACCCTTATCATTACATCAAAAATTATAATTAATAATGAAAACGCAACTTCATTTTCATATATCGGCATATTTTCTAGAGACATGTGCTGGATTTGGCCCTTTCAGGACTTGACGCAACAATCATCCTATCAGTGCGTGACTGCCCTTCACGGGCCTTCACCTAATAACACATATATGTTGATCATATATGTTGATCATATATATATATATATATATATATATATATATATATAGTTGAGTTCAAATGAGAACCACTATATTATAGAGGACTGTGCGGATTGGTGTAGTCATGTGCCATTAGTATGTATGTTGTGTGTCTGGGCTAATGTAGTTGTGTCGTGTGCCTGGATTAATATAGTCGTGTGCCATAGTTTGTATGTCGTGTGCATATGTTTGTTAACGAAACCTGATGTTTACACATATTCTTGTGTGTCATTATGTATGTATGATACTAATTTGTTGTGTGCCCATAATTAGTTTGCACTGGACTCTATATATAGAGTTTAGGCTGACCTTATCATAGGCAGGGACCATATTGGCAATGTTTCTGACGACGAATGCTTCTCCTGGTTGGAAGTCCAGCACATGTGATGGGCAAACCCGGGAGTCTGCGCAGGCAAACACCATAAACTGCATATATGCATGCCAACAACGTAAGTAAAAACATTTCATTAAATTTTGAGTATGATCATAATGCATGAATCAGAATATATATCTATATCTATATTCACAATTACATATGTAATTACCTTAGGGCTCTGGCCTTTTGCAAGTTCTCCATACAAGGCTGTATTTTTCCTTGAGAATATAATAATTAACATACAATTAATTCATTAAAAATTATGTATATATGCATAATGAATATAATGGAGCCATGCATATTATTTAATTTCATATCCGGCCGCCCTCCTTAATCATATGCGTGACCTTCTTTAACCTTAAAGTTATGCACAAAGTGAGGATTTTAGTTCATGGAGACTATTTTTACTATAAATTTATCACTTAATAAAGTGGCTAATTTGGTCCTTCAAGGACTACAATCGTCACTCCATGCATAACTTAAAGGATTAAAGATGATCATGAATTTAACTCAGAGACTAAGTCTGTATCACAAGTATAACTGAAAGACCAAAAATACAGTTTTTCGTGTACTAATTAAGTGGCTTGCTGCAGCTTACTCATATTTCTCTGTTTTGAAGTGAACGAAACCATTTTTGATCTGCTGGGTTGGGGCGTCGGAGGTCTGTAATTCTGCTGTTATTTCATTGATTGCTGCAGCCGCTATGGCTCCATATTCTCTCTTCTCACTGCAAAAACATCATTATATTGCTCAACACCCATTAATATAATGTATGTACGTTCTGATCAATACAATTTTCCCTATACTAATTAAGTGGCTAAGGGATCGTTGGGTGGAAGGCGGAAGTTCAAACCCAATGTCTTGATTTTCGAAAATGTGCTAGTATACAGAAATAAAATTGTGCCGCCGTCTTAGCTACAAGCTATAGTTAGCTAGCGGCTAGCTTGATCTTAAAAAATGGTATCAAAGGCAGGTGTTGTGCAATTAATTAAGGCCTTGTCCCTTAAAAATGTGACATTATAAAAAAATAAAGGTATGCATTCACTAATCACTATACACTATAACTTTTAGTGCAGTGATAAATACTTCATCCTAGTAGGTGGACATTTTCCAACAAGTGTGAAACATTTCACTTAATATATATATATATATATATATATATATATATATATATATATATATATATATATATATATATATATATATATAATTGTTCATTATGTTAAAATATTACCTTAGAACCTTCCTCAGCTCTTCAATGGCCTCTCCGTAGTTGCCCTTCGTCATGTCTTCTCTCTGCAAAGTTAATTACCACATATTTCATTGGAAATTGAGAATTAACAAATTCAATATTTTTTTTTCTTTACAAATGTAAGAAAAGACCTTGAATTACCTAAAAAAATTTGATATGAAGTAGAAACCGGCCTTAAAATATAATATTTTTGAAGAGAATTAACAACAATCAAATCCATTTGTAATCAAATATCAATTAATTGTCAAATATCCCTTATTTATACTTTTTTCTCTCTTTTTGTCCAAATTCTACAATTTTTTTTCTTTCTGATTAAACTCTTTTCTGCACACCTCCTTCCTAAGCTTTGCGTGCTTGTTCTCCATTGCCTTAGGATAAACTTTTTCACATTGGAAAATACATGTGAGTTTTGTAAAGGAGTAAAAGAATAACTAGTTTTGTAATTATTAAAAGATTTAATTTTAATAATAGGAGGATAACAAATAGGAATGTGAATGGGGCGCTGGGAGGGGGTACGCGTCCCCAAAACCCCACTCTTATTCCTGTCTCTGTCCGTATTCCTATCAGGGGTCAGAAATCTTTCCACATTCCCATTTTGTTAGGAATTTTTGGTCAAATTTTAATTAAATTAATTTTTTTTTTGTTTAAATAAAAGTCAAACTACTATATTTCACAATATTTACTTAAAAACAGGTCCTTTGATGGGCATAAAGAAATCGTCTTGGTAGCACCACCAAACCAAACTTTTAATCTTAGAATAGTTAAATCTATAACTTATCTACAACTTTAATAATAATAATAATAATAATAATAATAATAATAATAATATTGTTATAATAATAATAATAATAATATTATTATTATTATTATTATATTTGAAAAATCAGGGGTGGCCTGGGGCGGGGCCGGGAGGGAAGGGGTATCCCATTCCTTTCCCGTCCCGGTCCCCCAATGGGAGATTGATAACATTCTCTATCTCTACCCCATTCTCCAAACTTTTTCTTCATTCACGTCTTTGTTGGGGAAGGGATGGAGGATCCTCATGGGAACGGAGGAATTGACATCTTTAATAATAAAAGTGGACAATTAAAA